TTCGTCCCTCATCCACGCTGACCCTAAAGGCCGCTTTATAGTGGTTGATTTTTTGCGTGGTGCAAAAAACACCAGGCTTATTAACATCCACGCGCCTAATGATGTGGCCGAGAGGAAACACTTCTTTAATAATGTGTTTGCACATGTAAATTCATCAACCATCTTAATCGGCGACTTCAACGTTGCACTCTCTAAGCTTGATGTTGGTCCCAACAACACCCATAGGGACGACTCAAGCAGGACCTTCCTGGCCAAGGCAACGGTGAATTGTGATCTCTCCGAGGTCTGGAGGAGCCTCCACCACAGGACCCGGGGCTACTCCAGGCGTCAGGTGGTGCAGGGGGTCCTCCTCCAGTCCAGGATTGACCACTGTTTTGTGTCCAGCGGAGTGTGGAAATATGTCAGTGGCGCCGCCTACACATGGTCGGGTTGGAGTGACCACTCCCATCTCTCCGTCAGCCTCGACTTCCTGGGGGGGAAAAAGGAATGGGGGGGTCTGGGTCCTAAATAACACCCTGCTGGACGACCCCCTGTTCATTAAAAAAGTGGAAAGATTGTTTGATGGGTTTGACGGTGAAGTGGATGTGTATGATAGTGTGATAGATTGGTGGGATCAGGCGAAAGCCAGAATTAAAAAACTGTGCCTCCGCCACAGTAAGCAGAGGAGGTGGGAGGAGTCTGTCCCTGAAAAAACGGTCCGGGACCGCCTCCAGGTACTCGCTGCGTCATCCGGGGTAGGCCCGGTAGACCCGGAGTACCTGGAGCTGGAGGAGGAGCTGCGGAACATGCAGACGAGTCGTGCTAGGGGAGCTGTGCTCAGGGCCAAAGCTCGGTACGGAGTGGAGGGGGAACGCTCTACTGGGTACTTTTTTGGCGTTGAGAAGGCCAGACAAGGCAAGCTGTATATGGAGGGATTGTTAGATAATTCAGGTAAGTTAGAGAGTGATACAGGTAAGATACAACACTTAGCTCTGATGACGCTGACAAGTGCGACGAGCCCATCTCACTAGTTGAAATTACTGCGGCCATCAAGGGGTAAATAATCATAAAATCCCTGGAGAGGACGGCCTGACCGCTGAGTTCTACAATAGCTTTGCTCACCGGTTAGCGCCCATTCTCCACATGCTGTTTCACGACATTGAGGGTGAAGGGAGAGTTTCAGACTCCTTTGCTCGAGGCATAGTGACACTAATATTTAAGAAAGGTGATCGAGAGAGCCTGGCCAATTACAGGCCTATAAGTCTCCTCAACACCCACTACAAAATTCTCACAAAAGTATTGGCAGGTAGGTTAAAAAAGTGATAGGTAAGTTACTTGCGGGCACACAGGCGTACGGCATCCCGGGGCGTGACATCTCCGACACAATACTGTCCATGAAGT